TATCTCTTCGGGGCGTCGCAGGAAGAAGCTCGAGAGCGGCTGCTACCAAGGAGCAGGGAACAAGAAGGGCACACAGGAAGGGTAGATTGTGTAGCTGCTAACTAATTCACTTTGGTATTTGCCTTCCACTACTCAACAGCGCGACTACAGCAAAGACACCCATAAATATGCTCTATCAAGTCTTAAGCCTAAACCCTAGTGGCTATCTATCTTGCCAGGTGTATATTTGAGATAAAGTATGATTCTGGGCGGGAATTTTTTTTCTAGAACTTGTCAAAAGATTTCTGTAGTACTATATGTACATATAGTACTAATATAGTACATATAGTTCATGGTAATAAAATATATATATCTACGATAAGAAATGAATACCCCCCTGGAAAGAAAAGCTGGCAAGAATTTACAAAGTGCAAGATTACGGGTACCTGTAACGTTGCCAAGGCCGCGTGAATACGTATGAGCTTGGCTACAATTGACCCATGCGTCAGAATTTATATTCCGTTTGCCTGACCTAATAAATTCCTTGCTGCAACAACTGTACAATTTGAAAATCAACACCAGTTACATAGTCAAAGTTTAGCTTAGAAAGTGGTGGTGATAACCTTTCGACGAACAATTTTTAACAAATGTGGCGCATGCAATTTCTCAAAATCGACACGCACAATTTCCTGAAATAACATAGAATAAAGTTTTTGGTTAGAAAAGTTAGAAAAGCTTCGTGGAAATCTTTCGCATCTTTGGTTGGACACCCGGCGAAGACGGCAGCTGTATTGGATGACTATCATCATTATCTGGCTAAGATCCTTCAAAGCTGTCTTGCAGAATGTTATTGTACATCTGAGAGATCAGAGGGGCTGGACGTGAGTATGACCGAGCAAGAATGTAGTGAACATATACACAACCCTGTATATACAACCGTGTATACCGACACTAGCGCAGACATTCAGCGATCGGATAGTCCGGGGCCATGAATTTCTGTACTTATTGAAGGGCTTGACGAATTATGCGTTCCACTCAAGCGTTTGGATGGATGGATACCGGATGCAGGCGTAATGAAAGCTAGAACAGGGTATGATCACTGCATGTACGAGCTCGATGGTTCTGGCGAGGATCTCACCATCCCCCGACGTGAAGCGACGATTCAACAGAAGTGATATGTACAGCATACCCTTTTTGCTCCGAATGTGGTCTGACTAGTCCCGGTATATTTCGATGGTAGTCCCCGAAGATTTACGTAAGAATCACAGACATGGGTTGGGATATTTTTAGATATTACGGACAGTGCAAAGATGAAAACGCCATTACGGAAGAGCGTAGATCATATGTGCTTAAGATCGGTCGATGGGTAACAAGAAAGAGTCTTGTGCGTGCTGAAAGCAAGAATGTAGCATGGGACCATTATAATGTTAGAAACTGCTTCCGGGAATGGTCTCGAATTCAAATCACAAAAAATATGTTTTAGGGACCAAAAATCCCGGAGCGATGTCTGTGTACTGGTGTCCCTTAAATCTCGCCTTCTCTAATTGAGGTCACTCAAACACCACCACGTTTTAGTGTGATTCGAGAAGGTCAAGAATAGATCAGTGGTTGTGATTATGTCGAGCAATATATATATACGGATGCTTGTAAGCTGCTGAGCGGTCCAGTAATTTATTAAGAGATATCTCATAGACTCCTGAATATACTTACCAGTGGCGAGCAGTAAGAATATAATCAAGCGCTTAAGAGCAAGCCTGATGTTTCTGTCAAACGACTGTGGCATGTTGAGATTACCCAAAAACTCAACAGTAAGCACAATTTGTTCCTGCATGCGAAAGACATACTTATCGTATAGTATTTTATATTATGTTTTTGTAATTGATGTGTAATCAATAATAAGGAAACTCAAATAGTTGTTTTTTAATTGGTGATATCTATCGATCGTCACCAAGAAATTGATAAAGCGGTATACAGTATAAATGGGTAGTAACAGACCTTCAGATTCATTGGAAAAATTCGCGAAAGATTGATGTTGCCATATATCGCAGCAACCATCAATTTGCAAAAGCTTTAATTATTTCTTGGTATTGATCAATAGAAATCTAGCATCTTGTCTACACTCTCGAAAGAGTGAGTCATTTTCTTTTTGGTATTCAGTGACAAGCAGAATCATCGCGAATTTTTCATCACTGTGTTAAAAGACAACTAGCAAAAAGCATATTTTTTCTTTTGCCAGTTTGTTGAGTTTAAAATAATTCGGCTCTAAAATATCAGATCACTTGTCCGATAGATACAAGCATTCTATTTTTCGATCGTGTTTACGATAAGAAGACAAGCCTTAAAGGAGTTCATAAGTACGTATCCTCTCGATTTATCGTCGCGAAATTCAAGGTGAGATATCCGCAGACACCGTTTTCAAAAAAAAAATTAAGCTGCCGATTCCCCTCACATAGCTGTGGTTTGGTGGACAAGATATGTATAATCAAATACAGTTTTCTTTTCATCTAAACGCTTCTTCTACAAGTTGTTGCGACATTGCGGCGACTGAATTAAATCTCCCATTATAAATATCTGTAATTTGATCGCCCACTATCAATCCCCTTCCGGATTATTCGAGAAAATACATTAATTACAAAATTATACCCAAACAATATGCCATGATAAACTTAATGAATGTCGCTACATGCAGTTCAATGAAAAAATAACATCGAGGACTTTCATGACTTCTTCTCGTCTTCATTTTCAAATTTGCAAACTACTCCTCGGATCAAGAATCTTTACATCGCAACAAGCGACAAAGTCAAAAAACACTCTAATTCAAACATGTTTGGCACATGGGATCTCGTTCGACCGCGTTTCTGGTACCCCATGTCATCACTGGAGCAGT